ATGCATGCATATAAGCATAACCAATGGACATAAGACACTGGGGGGGTAGGGGAGGCCAGGGGATTGTCAAGGGCGGGGGAAAAAAGGAGACCTATGTAATACCCTTTGTAATACTTTAAGCAATTAAAAAACTCAGGGGCGGCTTTCTCTCAGGTGGGGGTGCTCACTGGGGTCATTGTTCCCATGCTGAGATCTCCCCTATCACAGATCTGAATTGCAGCCATATCTGTTTCCATCAGCTTGGTTCACACTGTTGGCTCCACCTGGAAATTCCCAGAGGCTACACCTCACCCAATTTCAACCCCACCCAAGCTGTTTGCAGTGGCTTTTCCATATGAATGGCCTGTCCTGGCTCAGGCTTCAGACATTCCTAAAACCTCTCAAACATGCAGCAGCTGGCATCAGGGTGCCCCATATCTATGAATTAGAAGCCCAAGACCTGGCACTAGCACCAGCCTGCCTTGCTTCATAGCTTGGCCTCAGCTGGGCACTTCTAAGCCCAATACAAGCAGCAGCCATCTGCAGATAGCTCTGTAGCTCCTGCCAGGTGGCCCCAAGCAGTGGCTGACTTTGCACCTCCCAAAGCCACTGTACCCTAGGTGGACAGTTTCAGACCATAGCAGATTACAACTGTACACATCCACAAGTGACACACTCAAGGGGCAGACTCAGGGAGCACCAAAGCCCCACTGAAGCAAGTCCTGCTCCATAGGAGTGTTTCCCACATAGCAGCTCTTCCACTGTAGCCACAGCTGGCCCTCACAGCCAATTGGCCTGGAGGTCAATTCCTCCCAGTGATGCCAACAGCAATCAAGGCTCAACTACAACAAGACTGTGCACACAGCCCACACGGGGGGAAACTTAGAGTGCCCAGCTTATGTGACTGGGGAGGCTACGTCATTGGGCCCTACAGGACACCTACTACACAAGGCCACTTTACAAATTAGCAGCTCTACCTAATACATGGAAGCAAACACAGGAAAGCAGCCAAAATGTGGAGACAAAGAAACATGTCACAAATAAAAGAACAGAAGAAATCTCCAGAAAAAGAACTAAATGAAATCACAGCAAGCAAACTAAAGGATACAGAGTTCAAAACAATGATTATAAGGTTGCTCAAGGATCTTAATGAGAGCTTCAAGGACTTAGTGAGACGTTCAAGATCTTAGTGAGAATTTCAAAGATATTTAAAAAAAGTCAGAAATGAAGGATACACTAACTGAAATGAAAAATAATTTACAGGAAATGAACAGCAGAGTAGAGGATACCAAGAATCATATCAACAATTTGGAATATGAGGAACCAAAAAACACCCAGTCAGAAGAGCAAAAAGAAAAACAAAATCCAAAAATATGAAGATAGTGTAAGGAGCCTCTAGGACAGTGATGGCAAACCTATGACACGCGTGTCAGAAGTGACATGCGAACTCATTTTTTTGGTTGATTTTTCTTTGTTAAATGGCATTTAAATATATAAAATAAATATCAAAAATATGTCTTTGTTTTACTATGGTTGCAAATATCAAAAAAATTTCTATATGTGACACGGCACCAGAGTAAAGTTAGGGTTTTTCAAAATGCTGACACACCGAGCTCAAAAGGTTCGCCATCACTGCTCTAGGCCCACTTCAAACGTACCAACATTCACATTATGGGAGTGCCAGAAGGAGAGGAGAAGATATTAAAACCTATTTGAAGCAATAATAACAGAAAACTTTCCCTAGCTGGTGAAAGAAATATTCTTACAAGTTGGCGGCAAGTCTCAAACAAGAGGCCCACACCAAGACACATCATAATTATAATGGCAAAGGTTAAAGACAAAGAATCTTAAAAGCAGCAAAAGAAAAGCGGTTAGTTACCTACAAGGGAGCTCCCATATGACTGTCTGCTGATTTCTCAACAGAAGAGGAGGAAGAGGGGGAGGAGGAAGAGGAAAAAAGAGAAAAAGGAGGAGGGAGAGGAACAGGAGGAAGAGAAGCATAAAATGGCAATAAATACATATCTATCAACAATTATACCTAAAAATCAAAATAAACGAACAAGGATTCTAATGAACAAAATAAACTGATGAATAAAATAGACAAATCTCAGTGGGAAGAGGGGGTGCAGGCAGGAAGAGATTAACCAAAGATCTTACATGCATACTAGGAGCCCAGTGTGCAATTCAAAATCGTGCGGCGGCACTGCCCACCCTCCGGTCCGGCTCTGCCTCCCACTCAAGCCTTTGGAAGCAGCTGCAGCTGCTGCTGATCAGGCCCTCCCCCAGTGCAGGTGCGCGGAGGCCCCTCCTGCCCCACCCCTGTGCATGCAACCTCCAGTCTGGTCAACCTGTAGCATATTTCTCTATTTTATATATTTAGATATATATACCTATGGACACAGACAATAGGGTGGTGAAGGCCTGGACAGGGTGGAGGGAGGAAATGGGGTGGGAAAGAGGGGTATCTGTAATACTCTCAACAAAAATATTTTTTTAAAAAAAGAAACTTTTATAAAGCATCTATAGATAGTTGATAAGATTTTTATTTTTTATTTAAATGGACATTAATATTCATATATATTTACATCTTAAAACTCCACCTAATTTAGTGAAAACAAGGCATAGAATGGCACACTGGCAGCAGAAGGTGCTTATTAACTACCAGTCATTGTTATGAAGTCATATCTATATACAACACTAAAGAA